ATAAGCCCTGAGTGTTGTGAACTTATATTTCTATTCTTAAGGTTGATGAACATGCTAAAATAGGATATATTAATGTTAACTTAAAGTGCAAATGCTTGTGAATAGTAAGTTTGATACAATGCCAGAAATAAGAAAATTTAACACAGAACACAATTCCAAATACTTTCACATATTCAACACCAAGAACAAATTATTTTCCATTAACTATGGCATATATTTTATAACATGATAGATTTTTAAGTGCTTCTGTTTAACACATTTTGTAAAAAGTTAGATGCCTTAGCGGTTTTTATTCAAATTTCAAAATTCCATCATTTCTCCAGTTTATAGAGCATTGGCCACTAGAGGGCAGACTTGACCAAGACATCTAATAAGATTTTATTGCTGCTTTAAATTTTCAGTTTATTTGAAAAATAGTGCATTCTTTAAACCAGAGGTATATTTTCTTTAAAATTATATATGCAAGACAAAATACCCTAATTTTTCAGCTGATTATTCAACTTTCAGACTCATTTTCTTGTGAAGTAGCAACTCTGTTTTCAGGTACAAAAAAATTAAATTCGCTGTAACAAGACATAGTAAGCTAATGGTTTCTTGTTATATAGAATTGGCAATATCTGTTGGCACCGTTTTGTGTTTCTACATACAGACACTGATAATGTGCTTATGTATGAGGTGTGACCAAAATATATGGTGAATGTATAAATTTTTTTAAACTAATTACAGTAAGACAGTAATCTCCCTCAAAATATTTCCCTCAATTTTAACACACTTATTCCATTGTTCTTCCCACTTTCTGGAACACTTTTGGAAGTCCTCTTTTATAAGCGTCTTTATATGCATTTTGCAGCTGCCTCCATGTCTTGAATCAATTCAAAATGCTTACCTTTCACGGTCATTTTGGCTTTGGAAAAGATCTAGAAGTTGACTGTGCCTGATTCAGCTAAGATGGACAGGGATACACAGTTGGCTTTTAACAGGACGACCTTTCCATTGATGTCATTTGGCAGGAGCATTCAGCCCATTTATCCCACCTTGTAATGACATAAAAGAGGGCTTCCAGAACTGCTTCAGAAAGTGGCAACAACAACAGGGTAAGTGTGTTTGAAGCAAAGGAGTATTTTAGGGGGTTATTGGCAATGTGTCTTTTACAGTAATATTTTTTAATTTAAACACACCTCATCTTTTGATCAGCCCTTGTAATGATCTAATTTCATTTTTACAACACACTTGTGAATAAACACTGATATCATCTTCATTTGCCAAGTGAGGAAATTAGAGACTTAAAAGATCACAAATGCTGAGACAGAATATGAATGCAGACCCAACTTTGTCTAATACCAAATTTTGTGTATGATATTAAAGATTTCACACCACTCTGTCCCAAAGACACTTTTACCCCTTGCAGAAATAGCAGTTGAGCCCCCCTCTTCACAATCCGTTTCCATGAAAGAGAACCACCATCTTCATTTTTATAAGCATTATTCGTCTTTTATAAGTGTCTAAAATTTAGAAATTTTGTAATTTTTACATACATTTATTCATAATATATTAATTTATTCATGTATTTCTCCTTTTGCTCAACATTATAACATTGATCTATACTATAGTGTGCAATGATAAATCTTTAGTGTTCAGTGCTAGGTGAAATGAAATGCTCTACATAATAGCCAACAGTTTATTAGCTGTTCTTCTATTGATGAGCAAGTGGGTTATTTCTAGCTTAGAACTATCACTAACACTGTACTGCAAACATTTTTATACGTATATTTTGGTGTGCATATAAAAATCCTAGTATATATGACTAAAGAGTCAAATTGCTGGCTCATTGAGGCTGCACATCTCCAACTTTATTGATTTCTTTCTTTTTTTTTTATAGGGATCAAACTCAGGACTTTGCACTTTGGAGGCAGGCGGTGGCACCACTGAGCTAAATGCCCAGCTCCAACATTATTGGAAACAATACAAATGCTCTTTGTCTGCTTTGAACACATTTACACATTGTTGTTGCCATTTTCTGAACCAGTTCCAGAAGTCTTCTTTTGTGAGTATCTTTACAAGATAGGATCAAAAGTAGGGTGAATGCTGCTGCCAAGTCCCATCCAATGCAAAGGTAGGCTTGTACAAAGATAACTGTATCCCCATCATCTTAGTCACCTCATTCATCTTATTCAGTTAACAGGCCAATGAATAAAGAAACTAGTAAATGCATGTAATGGGATAATATTCCATGACAAAAAGGAAGGAACAATTGATACACACAAAAACATAAATGAATTTCACATCTTATCTCTTAGTAAAGGAAATCAGACATGAAAGAATACATTCTGAATGATCCCACTTACATTTAAAATTTTTTAAAACCCAACAACTTAGAGTGACAACACACAACTTGTAAGTTGTTGCTTAAGGACTGAAAGAGCAAGAGAAATGGAAAGAATGGATTACAAGAGCACCATTAGCATTTGAGGGAAGACAGAAATGTTTGTATCCTTAACTGGCACGATACTTTCACAGTAGTCATACATCAAAAGCCATCAAATCTGATACTTTGAGTACATGCAGCTTATGGTATGTTAATTAAATCAAATCACAAAAATGTAAAAAACAAAACTGCTTTAATTTGTTTATTTTATTACTAATGAATAAAGTATCTTTTATCCATTAATGCAGATTTGAATTTTCTCTTTTACAAAGTGATTGTTCAAAATTTTTGTCCCTTTTTCTAACTTAATTTTCTTCGGGACTTTTAGGAATCTATGTAGTTGTTTTTAGTCTTTCATAGTTAAGTTTTTGTGTCTTACTTTAAAAAATGATGTAATAAAATTTTCTTTTCCCCAAGTTATAAAGGTGTCATTCTATTTTATCTCCTAAAAACCTTATAGCATTTAGATAGTAGTCCACCTGAAATTCACTTTTTTATTCATTAATTTTATTGATACATTTTAGGTGTACAATGTGATGACATTCATCACTGGGAATTTGTACATTTACATGATATATCTTGCTTCTTATTTTTTCCCCATTCCCCTGCCCTCCCTTCAACCATTCCATCCCTTTCTATTTACAAAGAATTTGTTTCTGGTTTTTCCTTTTCTCATATTTATTCCTTTCCTATCTTTCTTTTCCTCTACCCCTCCCTCTTCCTTTCCCCTTTGGACCTTTTCTTCCTATTTCATATTATCTATTATACACTCTGATTCTCATTTACACTTTCAGTTTCATTTATGGTGTGAGGAAGGGATTCAGTTCATTTTTCCATGAGAGTGATCAATAGACTTAGCACCACCTATGAATAGTTTACTGTTTTCTACTCATCTGCAACACTATCCTTATCATATAGCAAATGTCCAAATGTGCCTGAGTCTGTTCATTTCCACTGATTTATTAGTACAAACCAATTAACATTCTCTTCATTCATATATCTTTCCACACCTGTGGCAAACCGCCCCATTGATTCTGCACAAAGAATGCTGCAAACAATGCAGGCTGTAAAGAATTAACCCCACAATTGGCTTAGTTGAAGAAGTAAGTCTGACCAAAGCCTATGAGATAACACACAGTGAGGTCAAAGTGACTCTTACCCAAATACCATTCCCAAACTAACACAAGAATGCTTTGTCTCTTCTTTTACAAGCCTTGCCTGCCTCAGCAACACATCTATAGCAACCACACATAGTCCCCTCACCCCAATTTAACCAATGATTGTGTCACCAATAAATATTGATTGTTTTGGCTGGCCAGGGCTATGGCTTTCTCAAGCCTTTGCTTGCACAAGAGCTGATCATCCCAGTTCCCTGTCTCTGTTTCTCTAATTCTGTCTCTAAGTCTTCTCATCATGCATTGTAACACCAAGCAGAAGATGGGATCTGCTGCAGGGGTCTCTGATACATGTCTATTTTTCTACTTTATTGTTCTTCAAGAATGTCTTGGTTAGCTTTAATCCTTTACACTACTATGTAAATTTTAGGATAAAAATAACTTCTTCGTGATGTTGCTTCTTATTTTTAAATCATATATGAAAATTGAACTACAGTATAATCCTATCCTAGAATGTTTATTACTCTTCAAAATTAGTCAAATGAAAATGATATCTAAATACCTCACATCTTTCCTGAATTCCTTCTTCACACTATAAACAAAAGTCAATTCCGGATGGACTACTACCTAAACCAGTAAAAGACAAAAAGCTTGATACAACAGTTAGTTGGCCCACAAAAAAGTTATAGACTTACCCATTAACATTATGAAATAACCTCAGGCTATAAAGCATACAACAGTGTTCCAGTTTTTTCTGGTGTTGTGCAATAGTGATTGCTTGAACCTTGATAAGCTCATAAGAAGATGCTGAGTTTGCTGTGTTGAGGCATGGAGCAAGATTGCATTAGAGCACAGAACATGATGCTCAGTCAATGAGAACTTGCTTAGTGACTGCTTTGTTTGTTTGCTTTGTTTATTTTTGTCACATTCAGGATGTGTATAGTCATGACAGATAAGACTGAGTATCTGTGGATAACCTTAGACAAGGAAGCCATCTTCTCCAGAAGGCCTTTATCTTTAACACACAGCTAGTCATGTGCCTCCTCTGTCCCCATCACCCTCAAACTCTGAGCTTATTACATCTCAGCAATTCTGTTTCCTCATTACCAACAACATGTAACTGGTCTGCTTCAAGTCTCCTGAGAAAATTCTCGCTTATTTTGAATTCTGTATCCTTCTCTAAGAAAATTGACCAATGGGTAATTCCTCTATAGATTCTAAAATTAGTGGAAGGAACATTTCCCATGCTGAACTTGTCAATATATAATTTCTACCTATCCCTGGGGTAATATAATTCTTATTAAAGCAATTTCAAGAATACTTGATACACAGAAACAGAAACACTAAAACACTGAAGACCACCGAGATCTACATCAATATGTAAGGAGTTGGAATTCTCTCTGCAGAGTATTTTTAACATGAATATACAAGTGTTTTTATATTATTTTTCCACTATTTTATTCCTTCTTTATTCAAAATTACTTTCTTGTTTTATAGATATTGATAGAAGCCTTCAATAGTAAGGATAACTTTTCCAAAATGAGATTTACTGTCTTCTGTGGCCAATTCATCTTTGCAGTAGTCCAATAAATGAGGTCCATTTCTTCCTGAAATTTCATGTAAGGATCTATGCAAATCATGTTGTTCCTGGGTGTTAGAAATAGTGTGCTTTTGTATATGCATCTTCATCCTTGACATAAATAAAATATATCCCTGTAATCTTAGCCAATTCTCTTCCAGTGTTTTCTCCTTTCTCTGTTTCATTGTTCTATGGTGAGACAAAAATTAATATGTTGAGAGTTCACATATTTATTTTCTTCTTTTGCACACTTGATAATTCAATTATTCTTCAGGCTGACAAAAGAGAAAAAAATGGTCAGTGCGTTATTAAGGGGAAAGCTACTAGCCTGAAAAGTAACTTGGGTCACTGAGGTCTAAATCCATCCTGACTTTAGTAGCACATGGAGCATGAGGAAGAGAAAAGATTGAAAATCAAGATGGTAGGCTCGAGACAGCAATCTTAAAGGGAAGAGATTTTCCCAGCAATTTTAGAGTAAGAGAGAAATAGATACGATATTCTAAATTGATTTTCCAAGAACTAAAATAAGATTTGCATATTAACACTGGAACGTCTGTCTAATCTTTTACTGTAATAGTGCAATACTTTCTATGTGCAGGTTGATAACAGGGAATATGCATAAAGTCAAATTATCAGACTGAAAATATGAAAGACACTAGTTAGGAATACATGAAAAGGGAAAGAGAAGGGAGAGAAGAGTCCAAAAAGTTTAAAAACATGGAAGCGCAAGGTCCAAAGGAAGGGACAAATAAAAATCACACCTCCTAAGAAGCCCTCCTGGTCCAATCCAGTTCTAGATCTGAAGCAAAGAAGCACATTCTGAGATAAGAGGCCAAGGACAGATGCAGTGTGGGATTTTCCGACAGTGGGAATGACCCCGGGGGTGGATCACTTGAAACATTCCATCTTTATCAAAGGAAAGGAGAAAGAGAACTATTGTAGATCTTTCAGGATATACTCGGGAGGAGGGAAGGCGAGAAATGTGAGGGAAGAAAGACATCCAGCCAAAGGGCTACAGACCATTACAATCACAGAGCAGCGGTCCCCCAAAAGACAAAGAATTTCAGGCATGCAATAGATCCAGGCAGGAAGTAGTCAAGCAGCTGACACCATGGATCTTTTCCCCAAATGCATCCACCTGGTATTGAGTGGCGGAGCCCTCTTCAAAGTCATCTGCAGCCCACAGTGTCTGTCTCGCAGCAGAGAGAGTCAGAATGTCTTTTTCAGGATCCGGTGCCCGCTCTGAGACATAATTGCTGACTACAAAAATGTCAGAAAAAGCAAATTCCAAGTGTTCTATGGACTGCCTGTAGCTGCAAGAGAGAAATTAAAACCCAAAACTCAAAAAAGTGAAAAATATTTTATGTCAATACCATTTATGAAAACAATATTCCCATTGGGGAAAAAATGAAGGTTTGACCTCAAGAAGTACCTTCTTGAAGAACTTCCCATGTGAAACCCTGATGTCCCTGTTGCTATTTAAAATACATATAGTAGACTCAAAATGAATTAGAAATAAAAGGCAACCATACTGATGTTAAAACTACCATGAAATTGAAATATTTTAATATACTAGAGTTCATAATTATTTTGTTTTAAAAGTTGTTCTCAGTTAAGAGTACGGTCTCAAGGTGCATCCATTTAGCTTTAAATGTCTCATGTTTTCCTTCTTTATGGCTGAGTAGTACTCCATTGTATAAAAAACCACCTCTTTTTTATCCATTCACTGATTGATGGGCATTTGGGTTGTTTCTAAGATTTAGCTATTATAAACTGTGCTGCTATAAACATGGGTGTGCATATATTGTTGTAGTATGATGTTTTTAAGTGAAATAAATCAGACACGCATGTGTAAATATCACATTGTCTCTCTAGTATGAGAAACTGAAAGGGTAAATAAGGACCAAAATGTTTAATAGATAATGTGAAATAGGAAGAAAATGTTCAAAAGGAAAGGGGAACTAGGGAGAGGAGAAGGGGGAAAGAGGGAAGGGAAAAGAAAAGAGTAAGAAAAGAAGGAAAAAATGAAAACAAAACTTTTGTAAATAAGGAGGGGAAAAGGGGCTGAAGGGAAGGGAGGGGATTGGGAAAAAAAGAAAAATCAAGATATACCATGTACGGGTACAAATTCCCTATGATGAATATACAGTATGTGTATAGAAAGTGTACCAATAAAATTAACTTTAAAAAGTTATTCTCAGGATAAGTTGGTTTTATTAGGCTAATTTAATGTTTAGTTCTTGCTTAGACTAATTTATCTCTAGAGTTAGACTTTCTGGGTTCACATTATTGCTCTGTAATATCTTAGCACTGTCCATAAACACTGCAAATATTTTATTCTGTATGCTTTTGTTCTCTCATCTACAAAAGATAATAATGATAGTATCCATCTTATAGGATTGTTATCAGGATTGAATGAGAAAGCCATTACATATTTATCTCCCAGGGTATATTAGCCATCATTACATTCTTGCAAATGGTGTTTCCACCTCCAATCTGCCATACTGCAAACAGATGAACTTTTTGTGAAGTTTAACTGGCTATATTGCTACCCTTTCAAACACACTCACTCCTCACATTGCAAAAACTAACATCACTTCCTGCAAACGTTCATTTTTCATTTAATTGCCCCCAACAAAAATCCAGCCCCCCAATAAACTGAGCAACTACACGCATCTCAGACGTGCTGCCTTTTTCTCTATGACTATATTGATTTATGCTGCTTCCACATCCTGAATTTTTCCACTTTGTCTCCTCACTTCCTAAAGTGCTCCTCCTTGAAATCCATTTCCCTTTGGCACCTCATTAATGAAATCGTCACCTGTACCATTCTAAATTTATAAGGCATTTTATTTTTAGTCATTTCATGATATTTATCACATTTAATACATGCTTTTGTCAACTTTTTCTTATCCCCATCCCCTCGCTCCCTTCTATGAAACTATAAGCTTTTCTATGCAAGGGAATTTTATCATCAGTATGTCTGATCAGAAACTATCATACTAGCTTTCAAGGTAATCCATAAATATTTGTTAAATTGAACCTAACTGGATTAAATTGTAATGGATGAACTTAGCTGTTAGTGTCAGTATAAAGATATATATCCATATGTATATATAATTTTTTTTGTACCGGGGATTGAATTCAGGTCCTTGTGCTTTCAAGGCTGGCAGGCACCAGAACCACTGAGCTAAATCCCAGTCTGTATATTTAATTTTTAAAACTTGAGGAATGAGTCCTAATCATCTAGGCAATTATTTTAATTCTTAAACTCAGAAGTAAAGATATCTATCTTTGTTTACTTTTTAAAACAGTAATATCATGTGATTATAGTGATAGAGAATGTGTTTATAAAAAATATTAATTACCTTGAGCATCACAGGTTTACAGCTGTATATGTGTAGAGGGTCGTTCTGTATACCCAGTCAATATCCACATGAATGACAAAGCCACATGGACCATGCCTGTATCAAACAAACACACCAAGTTTTTCCTACAGACAGCATCACCAGTTCTAAGTTAAACAGACAGTGATGCAATAGACTATCCACAGGGCAATGTTAGATTTGAGAAGTTCCCCAAAATCCACCCTCAAAATAACTCCCCTGGACTAATCATGGCAACTGGCGTTTCTTCAACATGAGAAGCTCCCTTCATCCTCTTCCATGGAAAGAAATGAAACTTAGGTTGAAAGCAGTTTTTGGAGGAGCTAATTAAAATTTATTTAGCAGTGTCACTAACTGATTTAGTATACTCTGTCTTAACAGTGCTGTTTGGGTGGAGACCAGAGAAAGTCCAAAAGGTTCTATTAACCACCTACCAGTCCAATTATTTAAATACAAGATGACCAAAATATGCATATTTTTGTACACTTTTATAATATAACAGGAAATACAAAAACAACAATTTTATCAAATTATTCAATAATTTTTCTGTGTATGGTATATCTTAAAACATTCAAACATAATGCAGGGTTACAACCTGGACAGTAGTATCTAGTCTCTTTCCAAATTCTTTTTGCATTATTGTCTTTCTTTGAACAACACACTTCACACTGTTGGCCTTTCTTTTTTTCTGTGGATGTTATAATTTCAATAAAATGTCTACCCACTAAAAGTAATGGTGAAGGTGTTGATGATGGACATCTTGGTTGACATTTCACTATCTTGTATTTTTCAATTATTTGATCTACTGGACTTAATCTAAATTGTAAATGACTTTTTGAATCCCCTTGTTTTCAATAAATAACAAACAAGTTCCATTTTGTTTAGTCCAGAAGGTGCATAAATAATATTTTTCCTCTCCTGTTGATTTCAGGATAGCTTGTCAGATGTTGGTCAACTCTGTCAACACCATCCATAGAATTATTAGAATTATTGACCACTATTGGAATTTTTAGTTTCATTTCTTCTTTCAAGTTCTATCATTTCTTTCTGTGGCATAAATAGTTGACAATGAGGAGACATATTTTGTCTTTCCATCTCTAACAGACTTTTCCTCTCTTGTGTTTTGCAGATCTTTTGCACTTCCTTCCTATTCAGTCTCAATGTCCCAAACGTGACCATTTTTGTACTGTAAAAGAGGTCCCATTTGACCCAGCTATTCCCCTGCTGGGTATCTTCCCAAAAGAATTAAAAGAATCATACCACAGCAATATATGTGCACTCACATTTATAGTAGCACAGTTCATAATAGCTAAAGCTTAGAAACAGCCCAAGTCCCCATCAACTGGAAACTGCATAAAGAAGATGTGTTTTTTTATATAAAATGGAGTACTACTCAGCCATAAAGAACGAGAAACTAGAGACATTTATAGCTAAATGGATGCATATTGAGGGGATACTCTTAAGTGAAATTAATAGGACACACATGTGTAAATACAGAATAGTTTGTCTACTGTGAGAAACTGAAAGAGTAAATAAGGACTGGAAGGATTAAAATGAATAATTGATAATTTGAAATAGGAAGAAAAGGTCCAAAGAGGGAGGGGAAGTGGAAGGGGAAGGGGAAAGGAAAAATTATGAAAAAAGGAAAAAATGGAAACAAAGTCTTTGTAAATAGGCAAGGGTGTAGAGGGTGAAGGGAGGGCAGGGAATGGGGAAATATAAGAACCAAGACACATCATGTACAGGTACAAGCACCCAATGACAAATTTAAACATATTGTACACTTAAAATGCAACAATAAAAGAATTTAAGCGAAAAAAAAAAAACTATTATCACTGAGTCTGGAGAAGTACAAACATTGTCTGTGGTAAGACAGTGTCCATGTTCAAAAGGGGTTTCAGCAGAATCAAAACAATTATTTTTCACAAATATAATAAACATAAATTAGTAAAAGAAAATAACCAGATCCTATTATTAGATTTCCCTAGGAACAAACATCAAAGGCAAATACAATATTCTAAATTTAACAGTATGCAGAAATAGCTGATATAAAGCAAATAAACAGATGTACAAGTGGATCTCCTGCAAACAAGAATAGACTGGTTGAAAGGATCCCTGCTCTACAGTCAGTATGGAAACCAACACACGGCTGGAGTGGAGCTCTGGGTAAACCATTAAAGTGACTAAAAGAATGAGGGAGAACAGACCTTGAGAAGGAAGCAGAAAGTATCAGAGCGTCACAAATAAACTGTTCCTATTTTGCAATGTTAAGAAGCACCTCCCTGCACACCATCTTTGCTAGATTTTCATTTTCACTGAGCGGGTAAGTCAATCACTCCCTGTCCCTTACTTAATCAAATTTGTGATGAACTGGCTCTTTCCGGCTCCAAATGAATACGACCAAGAAAATCAGAGTGGGGCACTGTCACTCCCTGACCTAGTTTACCTTCTCCAAAGCTTTCTTCTATCTCTCCCTACCAAACGTTTTCCTTTCCTGCTTCTTTTTTCTTGCTAAAGTAATCCTTCCTACCTTCTAATCCTTTAAGAGCCCAGGGAAGTCTATGACCACTTGTCAACAGCTTCATATGCACTTGATCTTACCCAAAAGGCTGAGAAGCGATAACAGCTTCATATGCCTAGATGGAGAGGCAGTGGTGGTCAGGGTCTACTACTTCACACACACATCACACACACACACAAGCACAAACACGCACACACATGCACACACATGCACGTGCCCACAAGGGATGGTCAAAAATACAGTAAATGTTTAAATTTAAAAATAATTAGAGTACAAGACAACTTGCCATTAGCCACCACCCCAAATAGTCCATCTTGGAACACACTTATCTCACCATTCCAGTGTTCTTGCCACTTTTTGAAACAATTCTACAAATCCTCTTTTATGGATGTCTTTTAGTTATGCT